GAACGCAATCAGGCGTTTTATGTGAGCAGCTTAATGTGAATTTATTGCATTTCAGCCAGTTGCCACCCGCTTCCTGCTCTTCGCCCTCACATAATGAGTCTCCATTTATTTCCTTTTCATCTTTTATATTTTTTCTCCTCCTCTTCCTGAGAAGAAATCAATAAGTATGCAAACGTCTCGCGCTGAGCTGCCAAATTTTGAGTATGAGGGTTAACGATTTAACGTTTTAAGGGGTCAGCATAATGATGAGGATTTATAGATGCCTGTTTGACTTAACTGTAGCGCCATTTGTTTGCCTGAGCGAACTAACAAAAAATGACAAAAAGCTTAATTATGGAACATTAAAAACATTAACTTGGGGCTGAAAGTTGAGGTTTGAGGCAGAGTTTTCTGAAGCCACCTGCGCGCCGTTTCCTTCGAGTATATTTTTTGACCACCCGCTGCGCCTGAATACCGAAAAAAATGATATAAATTTATTTATACCGCGCCAGAGCTTTGGCTCTGGGGCATTTGCCTTTCGCGAGTGTGTGTTTCTGTGCGGTTAACAAAATGCAAAATGCCAAAAGGTCATCAGCTTTTGGGCCCAGCGTGAAGTATTTCTGCTGGGAGAGCAAACATTATGATTGCAACATTTCTGGCTTGGGAGGCATTGGGCGATGGGCTTGGAAGCACTCTTAAACAACCGCAGAGCTGGCTTTTTATTATATTCGGTTATGGCCCTCGGTTATGGGTTATAAAACTAGACTAACAACATCAATCGGTGGCCGTGATACCACTTCAATTGAAGGCAATTAAGGGGTGAGCCTGGGGCTATAAAAGCACCAGATAGTGCATTTTTTACATGGGAAGTCAAAGTCGTTAGGCGCATTTGATTGGACAGTGTAATTGCCTAATAAGATTTCCCCTAACCAGGAAACCAAATGTAGAACTTACAATTAACTTCTTTAATAATATTTTACTGTTCTTCATGAAACACAAATTATAAATCAGTTACCTCAATTTAGTACAAAATAATTTATCTCATCAATTTAGAGCTGAGCCTCAAACAAACAAATTTAATTTTCTTATTTAGTGGTTGTGTTTTCATTAAGGCAGAAAATTAACTTAATGAATAATGACTTAATTAATGGACTAGGTTCGAAGTAGCAGAGCAAATAAATAATTTCGTTTGTTGCTATCTCTCAATCAATAAGTATTTTGGTCTCATCTCCTGCGAGATTTGGACTGCAATCCAAGATTCATATATTGCAGTCATGGCAACCTCTGTCGAGTCAATTGCTGCTTAATTGCCAACCAAGACTACTTGCATTACGACCTGTCTCATGGATCGTGTCCGAGCAATCAATTCCTTAAAGTTTACACAACAATTGCGGTTTAATTAGAGTCATGCATACTATATTATAAATGCCAAAGCCAGACATGTGTGTGAATCTGAATCTGAAGCTGGTTTGGCTCTTGGTTTCGCCCAGAGACAGGGACAGTTTTCAATATTTATTGCTGGGTGTGGCCCAGCCCCTCCACCTGGCATTAAAAAGGGGCTAGTCTAAGGTTCGAAATTCGTAATTAATTTATTGAATGCGTTCGCCTGCTTTCGGTTTCACGTGTGTGTGTCTGTGTTGTTTTAGCCCGGAGGTTGTAAAATTTTAATGTCCACTTCATTATCTCGACTTGAAAATCTAATTACCAAAAGTGACTGCAGTCAGGTCGCTCAGCCCAGTTCCGTTCCCTTTTCGGGACGTTCTTGAAATGCCCGATATACTCGTGTATACTCGTATAAATATATGTGGCAGTGAATCGTTTTGACTTCTTTTTCCCTGCAGCTGACGCCACAAAAGTCAACAATTTTTGGGCTCAATTAAAGAGTCGAACTGAAACCGAAACTTGGCTGGCTGCCGACTTGGCCGGGCCTTTATTATCTTGATGAGCGGCCAAACTATTTTACGAGCTCAACAACAAGTTAATTAGCCGTTGGTATTAATGCCCCCAGTGGCGGCAGTTGCTTGAAACAAAAATTTTATGTTGTCAAATGGATTTTGGCCTCCTCGCCGTTCCACTTCCTATCATTAATGAAGACGCCCTGGTCGGCTGGCGATTTATTTGCCTTTCTTCTCTTATTTTTTTTCTGTATAATTTTTATTGCTCACTGACTCCGGGGACTATGCAAAAATTGTATAAATATATAGATGTGCGATTGTGCGACTGTGTTTGCTCAGCTAATGATTATAATTAGATTGCCCCGAGAAGTGCGTGGACTTGGCCATCTTAATTGCCATTAAGTCAAAGTCGTGGACCGGCGAGCGTGTGAACATTTTGTTTATGTCGTTTCCGTTGCGCACCTGCAGAGCAATCGAAAAATGAAAAAACCAACAAAAAAATAAAATGATAAATGAAATCGACGAAAAAATATTTCGCCTGGCTGTGCAAATAATTTTTAATTAAATGGCAATTGCGCATACGCCGCGTGTCCCACCGAGATGTTAGATAGATAAATCGCGAGACAGCCAAGTGCCAGCTGACACAGCTGTTGGCGACGTGTTGCAATTGCTGTCGCTGCAACTGCAACAGCACTAGGCCATAAACCGAACAATCCCAATCGTAATTTGCCTGGCCGTTTATTGAGCGGCAATTTGATTTGCCCGGCAACACCTCTCACAATTGTCTTAAGCTAAGGCCAAGAGTCAAACACGATCCCAATGACAGCGTTTAAATGGAAAAACGGCAAAGCGACAGACAAATTAAGCTGGCCGAGGAGACCCTAAAAAACGGAGAGCTGAGCTGAGAAAAATCTTTTTGTATAAAATGCGTTACGACAACACGCCCACACGATATCAATTTGTTGACTGAAGCCAACAACTGCAACAAGTCCGGCCACAATTTATTCGATGATGTTGCATTAAATTGCTGTTCGGCTCGGCTCGATTCAGTTTAGTTTTCTTTTATTCTGTTTTTTCCATCCCCACCCGCTGCGTGGGCGGAAGATACGAAATTAAACAGAAACAAAAAGGAAAAACCAAAACAAAAGCAAAACAAATCGAGCCCCCGACAAACTTTGACCCCAAAAAAATGCAAAGCCAATAGGTCGGAAGTGAAAGGGTTGGTTTGGGTCTCATAGGGACCAGAAGCGCTGGCATTTAACTTGATTTCGGTGGTACAAAAACTGTAATATATTATGATTGATTTATTGAAGAAGTTTGAGAGGGACTCACCTAATAAAAAGCTGGCAAATTAAATTGTATGAAGAGGAGATAAGAGCTGTCAGCTGCAAGCGAAGTAAAAATTTCAAAACTTTACGGAATGCAAAAAAATAATTTAAAATTTACTCATGCCATAAAAACCCTTCACATTTCAGTGGCAATAATTCTAAATGATTTTTTCAATCAATCCGCCAACGAACGTATACACTTTGGCAACACATTTTCCATTAAATCATTGAAATAAAAATACTCGAAATCGTAATTGATTCCACAGACTCTTCAAAATCACTTTCCCAGCAATTTGCGATTGATTTCCGCTTAGCGCAGCAAGTAAAAGTTCAATTCATGACATTTGGTCGACAGTTTTATTGGTGAATAATTGGTCATCATTGATGTATTTGTACGGCGAACCAAATACCATCGAACCCGTCCATGATTGATCTATTCAATGCCAATGAAAATGAAAATGGAAACAAAGCAGCTGCCACACCAGGCAACAGGCAACAACAACAACATCGACATCCGAAGTAAAAACGACAACACCGCAGCCACAGCAGGAAAAGAAAAACTAGAGAAGAGCGACTGAAAAAACAAGAAATCAGCTTAGTCACTGGAAAGAAGAAGAAGAGGTGGGTGGGTGGTTCTCGGGAGTGGAACATAAATTATATGATATGTTTGTCCTGACCGAAAGGTGTGGGGGTGGTGAGATTGGGCGAGGCCTTCTGGATTATGGGAACGATTATACCCGGTAACTGAATACGAGAAAGGGTATATTGAGTTTCCCAGAGTTACATATTAATCGAAAGATTAATTACATAAAATACACGGATTGTCAACAGCATACAGATTGCTGTGGTTTCGAATATATTTTACATAAACATAAACATTTATTAAAATGAGGCCCTTTTGTATCCAAAATGTATCTCAAGTTTCATGCAGTCAATGGGAATTCCAAGTTCCATACAAGTTAGCCTTCCACTCATATATTTTTCTTAATTTTTTTGCGGCTGCTCGTTGACGAGTCAAGCAACCACTAAAATAATCCATTAAAGATAAACTAAAAGCAAACACTAAACTTTAGTGCTAAGCCAGGGGAAACCGCAGCGCGCCCACACACCCACACACCCAACACACAACACACAACCCATGAATGGATTGATAATCAATCATTTATCAATGAGCGGGGAGCCGAAAGCGCTGCGGCACACGCCTTTCCAGAAAAATGGCCTGTGTGTGTATAAGCTTTTAGTTTGCGTTTAACGCCTCATGGATTCCCCAAAGCGGAAGCAACTTTTGGAGGGGTTCTATTCATTTGTGCCCGATGATGGAACGATATGTGTGCATGAGCACAAAATGCACGCACTATAAGCCCTTTACCGCGATAAGAAGTTCCCAGCCGAAGGATTGTGGGAATGTTAACTTCCCAAGGGGGTGAAATGCGTGAGGGCGTGCAGTTGAACAAACCGCAGCTGCTGCCACTGGATTTAATTAATTTTCTAGCATTCTGAGTTTGATTTGAATCTCGGCTGTGCAACGTCATCAACATCAATTGTGGCAATAGCCGCGGGCTCTATTGATTTGTGCGAGATATATTATGGTGGGAATTCCAGATTTTCCGTAGGTTTTGTGCGGCGGGAGGTGGGGTTCGTGGGGCGTTATATCATCTATTTTGCATAGACATATGCGGGCTCACCATATGCGGCCAGCCATTTCAAATTTATGCAATTTTCCGGCCGCTCTCTAAATTATTGAAAATAAACGTTTTTCGCTGACTACTAAAATTTCCGTTTTCATCCATTTTTGCAGGAGCAATGCGGAGCTGCGGCGGCGCCAAACAAAATGTGGGGATAAACCAGCGTCGGAGCCTTCTGGGATTATGCTAAAAATGCTCAAAGTGCGATATAAATTTTTATGAGTGTACGCGTTGAATTTTTACGACTGTCTGGGGCGGGGAAAAGAATTAGAGAAAATGCTCCAGGGAGGACGATTTAAAACAATACAATAGCTTAAAGTGGCAACGGAAATTGCATGCAAGCAGAGGAGGCGTGGCACTGAACGCCCCCCACCGCACGTGACACGCACCGACACAGGAAAACTAATAGACGCCATTTTGTAGCGGTAATTGGCAGGGCTCACGTAAGCAGCGCCAACTCCGTCTTATATAAAGAGCACCACCCAGAAATCGCCAACTAACCACCCACTCACCTCATCATGGCCGTTAGCAACATTGTCTGCGAGTGGCTGAGAGCTCTGGGCCTGGCCCAGTACGCCGAGAGCTTCCTGGACAACGGCTACGACGACCTGGAGATCTGCAAGCAGGTCGGGGATCCCGACCTGGACGCCATCGGCGTCGAGAATCCTGCCCATCGACACAAGCTGCTGAAGAGCATCCGATCGCTGAGGGAGAAGGGCGCCGCCTCCGTCTACTTCATGCTCAACGACCCGAACTCGCTGTCCGGCAGCATGGAGATCCTCTGCGAAACACCGCCCAGCAACGAACTGGAACTCGTCCTCCGCGAGCAACTCGAAACGGACGGAGTCCGACTCACGGCGCATCCATACTCAACACCGGTAAGTGTTTAAGGAATTTTTAAGGTTTTTGAAAAGCTAATAATATAAGCTTAGAATCAGTTTTTAAACACACCTACTTCTTGTGCACAGGGATTTTGAAACATTTCCTACAATTTAAAGCCCCTAAATTCTTTTTCCCAAAATAAAGTTGAAGTGCAGAAGATGAGTCGTGCCCAGCATCATTAACATGCCAAATTTGGCTCCCCTGGCTGGCAAGGAATCCGAGGCGAGGGTTTAAATATCTATTAAAAGTATCTGCCCCTGCCTGTCATAAAACTTTCAATCCAGCATGTTGGAATAGCCCGCACACACCCGCTGCCAGCGAAACTTTGGACAGAGCTTTCTATTACGAAATCCAATTGCAAACAAAACTGAAATTGCACTCGCCCGGGTCCCCTAAACTACGTAAACCCCTCAATTCCTCCCCCAAATTTTCCCGCTCCGCATTTCCATTGAGCTGGGTTTCGGTCGAACCCAGTTCCATTGCCGCCCACAACAAAAGGGAAGCGAGCTGTGCTCCCTGGCGAAAAACTATTCAATGTCAGTTTACATACTTAAATTAAAATTCTCGACATGCGAAGCAGAATCAAATAATGGCGAGGGGAGGGCCAAGGAATACCGGGGGATCCCAGGGGCAGTTGCATCGTTGGCAAATGTCAACCCGGTCCGGTCCGCACTTGACAGTAAAATGGAGAACATTTAAACAGAGGCAGCGACTCCACCTTCGGCCTCCCCTCATCCAGGTCCAAGTGCTCAACACCAACTCTCCGCTGACCAGTGGCCTTTGTATGGGAAGCTTTTAGCTTTGGCGAAGCCAGTGCGAGTGTATAGTGAACCCCTTATCCTCCGCCTCGAGATCCGAGACTCGAGTGTCATGTTGCTCCATGCCGGTCTCCATTGTTCTCCACTCAGCGAGTGCTCCCCTTTCGCTGCCTCTCGAGTCCCCTTGGGGCCCCCAATCCCTGAATCCCAGAAACTGCAACTCCAACTCCTGGCCAGAGCAGCTCCCAGGTAGGCGACATATCATGTGTTACCAAAAAGGCACCGATGGCCCCGAAAATGTTTCGTTTTCTGCCCAGTAAATCCACAAGGTGCACTGAGAACTGAATCATGCAAAAAACTGTTCATTAAACAGAAACATTACATCAAGCTTATTGTAGTAATATAAAAAACCAAAAATAAAAATTTAATTTTATAGTGTTCCATTGTATTTTTCATATCGTAAGTTAATAAGAAAATCCATATAAGAAGAGCATACGATTTTTTGCCAGTGAAAAAGAGCATTTAAAAAATACCTTCTGCCTTCTGGCTTCAGACTTTACTGCTGCGAGCCCTTACATTTTGGAGCCTTTCTGAGTGTAATTAATATAATGCCAAAGAGCAGACAAGTTGCCGGATAAATGGCAACATTTGATGGACTTCTCTGAAGCTATGGGAAAAGGCCGAAGATAAAGCGGCAGCCCGGCGGAAGTTTGATTTATTATGCAAAAATATTTCGCAGCTCTAAATTATGGCCCCCCAAAAGGAAATCTTAGAAGCAGAACCCTTTTCAGAAGACCAAGAATTTGCACATCGGTTTAGTGAAATGTGATTTATTTATATGAGGCAGGATTTCGCGAAGGATGGGGATTCATGAGGATGAGGAATGCCCGCGTCGTTGGCGGCACAAATCACGTCATTGAGTTGTTTTCATCAAAAGGGCAGGCATGCAGAGGAGTTTCTCAGTCTGGCACTGAAACTCAAACTCAAACGCGGACTCAGACTCAGACTCGGGCCCTCATTCATTCATTCATTCGGTGGTGCTGCCTCCTTAACCGTTGGCCAGTTTTGTGTGCGCCAGTATTTTTATCCCGAAAACTATCTTGGGGCCTGACGACCGACAACCGACAACCGTCGACGTCTTGCAGTTTTGTATCTGCGTATATCGCGCTGGCATACAATTTTTATTTATTACTCATTCAGCTGCAAAATTGTTCCTTAATTGCCCATATCAGCTGAGAAATGAAATTTATTACCTGGCGTGTGTATATCGCCAGTGTCCAGGCCCCCTTCCTTCTTGCCCCTCTGCTGTCTCCTCCTGTCTCCTGTCCGTTTGTATCTGCGCCTGTCTGCCGCATCATTATCAGGCTGAGTCCGAGTCGGAGTTGGCGAGTCCGTGGCCAGAAGATATTCCCCCAGCTTCATCGACATCATTAGTTTTGTGCGCCGTGCCGACAACGTTTTGTATATTTACTTAATATTGCATTCGCTGCTCTTGGCCGAAGAAGCCATGACCATTTATCTCGGAGTCCGAGGAGCAGCCTTCTGTGATTTCTGATTTCTTATGCCAATTTACTTGGGACTGGTCGTTGAGGTTGCTCCACATTGCTGGATGAGCCAGCCGTCCAGCCATACAGCCATTCGGCCATCCTCATCATCCAACATCATCATCATCATCATCATCATCATCATCATCTGGGGCTGTAGAGCCACCATAGATCAAAAGACAGTTTGCTTTAGTTTTCCCTCCTCGCCGTTGTATAATTTTGTTTTATGTGCCTTTAGCCTTGACCAGGTCAAGTCGGTTGGGTTTTGGGGTCGTCTCCTGTATCCCCCCGTCTTTCTGTGTTTTATTCTTCCTGTCCAACCGACCGACGGACCGACCGACCGAACGACCGACCGGCCAACTGACTTGGCTGACTTTAAGTTATTTTTGCACTGGGGCTTTATTGATTTGTCCTCTTTGATCTTCTGCCTGAGCTGTGGCATGATTTCATTTTTATGAACTTGAGTTCGGATTGTCTTTTGCCCCTTTCCCTGGCGGATTTTGCGTAGCGTGGCAAGTAATTGCCGCAATTCAATTTGTTCATTTTGCCTACGTGCTGTGTGGCTTTATTATTGTTGATTTTACTCGCCCATTATGGCGGATCTTTTGTAGGAAATTGGTGAGTCGGTCTGGTCTGGCTGCTCATTTACTTTCGATTATGTGCTGCCCCTGAATTGAAATTAATGGGCACACATAAATCATGTTTGTGGGAATTATGCTTAAGTTGTATATCTACAAGAAAAGTCATAAATAACATAGGTTATCTCCGGAACTAATTTTTTGGAGAATACATTTACCGTAGCATTCTTTTTAAACTCTTTATCTTTTTCAAAAAATAAAACTTCAAAGCTACGAAGTACAACCCTTAAGTTGGTAAGTTTAGTTTCTTGTGTACTTAACCCAGGGTTAGGTACCAACAATCTTTGACAGATTTCTTCCAAATCTCCATTCACCATCTCCCCCAAACTCTTTGGCCAATTAATTTTGGTAAAATCTCAAACAGCTTGCGTGAGTTTTCTTGCATTTACCCGCATTTCCTTCAACATCTGCATACATCTTGAGCCTGCATTTCCCAGCAGCTAGAATTAAACTTTTGTCATTGCACTAATTAAGACAAAAAGTGGGAATTGTTATGGTGTTTTTCACCCCCTCGGAGCAGCAACATCAAAGCAGCCAATTTTCCGACTCTAACCCCTGACCGAAAAGGGGGAAAATTTGCATAGCTTTCACCATTCAACTTAATCAAGCATTTAACACCAAAAAGTAAAACTGCGAAACCATTCATTGCTCATAAAAAATTAAAGTCTAATTGTGCGCGGCGGCAAAAGGAAAATGGGGAAATTGGTGGAAATGGTGGAAATGGAGGGAACGAAAAGGGAATCCATGTCCAGGGCAACATTGTGTTTTTTGTTTTGTTTTCCTTTCACACCGCCTGCCAACGTTTTTGGACCCTAAGCTGAATGGCGAGCGGGAAAAACCCTCTTCAAAAAATATCCTGCAAACAGGAGCACAGTAACAGGAACTCAAACGGGAGCAACAGGAATGGGCAGGACAACGCCAAACCGAACCGTTTGCTAACGTGCTGCGGCTGCGTGCTTTTTAATTAATTTAATTGCAATTTAATTACGCTTGCTATTTAATTAAACACATTGAACAAGCCAACGCGAACAAGTTGGCCGTTACGTTGCGACGTTTGCTCAAGCCCAATTGCATGTAAAGCTTTTTGCTTTACTTTCGGGGGGGCGGATCCTTGGCCCTCCAAAATTTGGCAATAGTTTTTTGGTAGCTTAATTAGACCCGGCTGCACAAGTTTAATTGATTTGTTAGCCAAAAGAGGTTGATAAAGAGTTCACCCTTAACTTTGCACAGCAAAGTAGTTTGGGAAAAACAATTGGTATATAAAGGGGAAAAATTTAAACTGCCGCCAATCATTTTCAATTTAAAAGGTTACAATTGCTTTGCAGCGAAGCCATTTGGATACACAATTTAGTTGGCCAAGAGTAATGGCTTTTACCTCACCTTTTTGAGGTGCATTGTTGCATCCTTTCTGCTTTCTGCTTTCAGCTGTTTGCTCCCCATAGGCCAAGATAATTTGCAGCTCCGTTGATAATTGACGATTAATTTAATAGAATGCCCAAGTTGGGAGTTGTGGCCACTACTATTTTTTTCTCTCCTACTTTCCTGGCTGCCCGTTGTCGGCATGCTCAATTGTGCGAAGTTATTTCGCATTCGCCGCAATGTGGCACCAAAATGCTGTCGTCGCCTGTCGCCTGCCTGTCGTGGCGGTTGCTGTTTCCTCGGTTTGGTTAGTTCTAAACAACTTGCCACATGCTTTGAAGCTGGAGCTATGGAGCTATGGAGCTGTGGATCCCCGGACTCGGCCTTACTTGGAGTTTATCTCATATTTCACATGCCGCCGCAATTACTGCGGCTACTTACAGCTCCTTCTGCCGCCGTTGCTGCCTTTCGCTCCCAGGCCCCAAACAACTCCAGTGTCAACTGGCTGGAAAAAGAGTAGGAGCCGCCGTGTCCGCTGCCTTGAAATGTTTCATAAATACTTGAGCAACGCGGCAAACATTTTGCTTATAAATCAAAAAGTGACCACGGCGGTTTCTCTTTCTCCGTTTTTCTCTCTCTTTGCTTTGTAAGCTCGTTGACAGGCGCTTATAAATCTTGTCGCGCACTTCGCGACCAG